TGGACAAACTAGAGTAAAAGTCATGTTATTTGTAATACCCCAAGAGGTATAAAAAGACTTGGTTTTAGACCAAGTCAAAATCATGTTCATAACAATCTTTTAATTATTGATCTAATAATTAATACTTCCTAACACACTGTAATAATAATATTATTATCGCTAATAAAAACACATAACATATTTTACCTTTAAAATAATAAATCTCTAAATTATTAATAAACCACCAAAGGGGAAACCTTTGCTGCCCATAGCAGATAACTAACATTTTGATTATTAAAGGACATCTCAAGGGGATGCCTTTGGGATATAAATATATATATATATAGAACCTAGGGAACCTTTTATCCAAAGGATAAAAGTTATATTTTATTAATTTTTGACCGTAAGTCAGCAGGTAGGCTGTGTGTTGAGCTATAAATATCCTATTAATTAGGAAACTCGGATTGCACGCTCACAGTATGTTTATCTATGTTCTTTTTATGCATCTCTTGTTTCCGCATTTATTTCTCTTACAAGTACTGATTAAAATTTCCATGTTCTTTATATTACCCACAAATCTAATTTCAAGAATGAAGGGGAACGTTCAGCTGAGGAAGCTCTTCCTAATATTTTGCCTTATAATCTTCAAGATCATGCTCCCCTTCACGAGAATGTCAATTTATATAATCATAATAATTCATCAATTGAAGTTAAACACCTTATTGAAAAGATGAAAAATGTCAATGATCGTCTTTTTGATTATCATGTTGTGAATCTCTTCGAAGAAAATCTTACGGACCCTGTAAATAGAGTTTTTTCAGATGAAGATAAAAATCTAATGAGAAAAATTTGGGAAGGAGTACGCATTCACATATTTTAGTCATTCTCCTTAGATTGTAACTAGTACTAATTTTGATCTTCTTTTAGATGGAGCCATCAGTTGAAGAGAAGTCAGAAACAATACATAGATCAAAGTGGATAAAGATTATAAAACCCCTGGTTGAAAAATATGCATCCGCAATCGAAACTCAATCAACCCCAATTGAAATTATTTTTGATTGTCCATTTGAGGGAAAATTTGTCTTTGAATTATGGGTCCAGGACATCTATCGGAGATTGTAAGTATGTTTTATTGCTTAGTATAATGCAACACAATTAATTAATTAATTTCTGTATTTCACTTTAGTACATTTCTGTTCACTTCTTCCTTTAACTTACTCCATGATGCAAATACATCTGAATTTTTATATCGAGAGTCATTTATCAATCCTATTATTCCTAGAATTTTTGATGACATGAAATACAGTATTAGATTTCCAACGTATATTTTTCTGTCTGATATTAAATGTTTTTATAATTTAGTATATTATATTTATATCTCATAATGAATTCTATGACATTTTAGAGGTGAAATAGAGAGCATGCTACGGAAACAACAAAGAAACCAAACAAAAGGTGAAACTCCACAGGTATTACTTGGATCTAACCATGATGGAATTCTTAAAATATGTATAAATGCAGTTGAGATAGAAATTGGATATTTAGAGGTTGTAGGAAATGCAATAATTGTTGATTTTAAAAAAAAACGTGAAGATCAGGAAAAGTTGTTTAAAGGTTTGTAAATTATATCTTAAGTTCTTTATATAGTATTAGAGTTCACAGAACCCTTTTTGTCTTGTAGTGATGCAACTATCAATATTTTTTCAATGACAACACCACTTACAACGTAATGCTACTGAGGAACAGCTTAAATGTATTGAAAGCTTTGGTGTATTTGTCTATCGTATGTAATGTTTATGTTACAACCATTATATATTTATATAAAATCGATTATTGATTATAATTTTTTTTTTGTTTTTCATCTTAGAATGTGATTTATTAATTTACTCAACGCATTGTTCTCATGAAGGTTTACATCTAGTCAATCTTGTTACAAAGTTTACAATTCCAAAAGATAGAGATCAAGCACATATTATAAAAGAAATAATACAAAAAACTTTTTTTTTTAAGGTATATATATAAATCTGGCAATTAAGGATACCGGCTGCAACTTTTGATGATGGTTGCAACCATCTTTGCGTCATATAAGAATGATTGCAACCACTGGTTGCAACCACCTTTACAACCATTATTTTATTAATTGATCTAACTTTAATTTGTTATTATAGAGTCGTGTGATGGATTATTTTCACAAATTACAACAAATTACTAAAAATTCATATGAATTCACTTGTACAAACGAAAATCCTTTAGAAGCATCGCCATCAAAGAAAGTTTCCTCAAAAGAATAACATTACTAAAGAGCTAAAGATATATCATTTCAGTCTGGATTATACTATAAATGGATGTGTGGTGATCCCACCTTATATAGTATCTAGGATTTTCTATAAAATTTTTTTAATCTCCACTATATTTAATAATATAATAATAATAAGATATAATATATTCATTTTATGTATATTTTTATATGTAATAAATATACAGTTGGCAAAAAAAACTTAAATAATTTTTCAAAATAAAAAAAAAACATGCTTATACTTTATTAATTCTGCAATTATTTAATATTTAAGTTGTATTGCAGTAGTATTATATGTATAATTATAATCAGCATATTTGAAAATCCAATCATTGGCTATTGAGATTTACCAATTAAAAATAATCAAATCACATGATCTACCAAAATACTTCGAAATCAAATAGTAATTTCAATGATTTTTTTGATCTATTCTTTCAAAAAATATCAATAATTCTCTACAAATAAAATGATCATTATTTATTTGTTTATCTGTTTCAGTTGATCAATAAATCTCAGGTCTCAAGATAATTTTATCTTATCCATTTTTAGTAATAATAAATAACTTAAATCTAACATAATTATTTTTCATGGAACCAGTTGACTCACTTCAATTTTAAAATAAATGAATGCCTACAAAGTGAACATAAAATTGTATATATAGGTATAAGTGTATATGAAAAGTGAATATAATGGTTCTAATGAATATCAAAAAGCAGTTGAGTTTTTAGAAAAAGGTTGCAAATGTAGTTGTTCTTCAAGGCTTCCCAAAGAAAAATTTGCAGAATTACATGAATCTTTTCAAGCCCTTTCTAAATCTGAACAAGACATATTTTTAATGGCGCAACTTAAAGCAATGGATGGTGGATCAGTAAGTACTAGTAGACGCCTTAAAAAGGAAACTAGATCTAATAAAAGAACTTTCTATCAATGGGATCACAATACACTCCTTTGTCAAGAAACTTATCTCAATATGTTGGGAATTGGTAGGACTTACTTTGAAAATAT